AAACAAAAAACACTAGACTTGTAAGATGTTTGAGTTACTGATTTGAATTCCTGAGGAGAAGGCAGGAATCCATGGGGCTCCCCAAGGTCTTAGGGTCATTCCTTCTGGGTGTGCATCTCACTGGGCCCCCCCCAAAGGTGGGGCATCCTTTCCAGAACAAAGGCTATGTGTGCTCTGCCAGGAAATCCCTAGTCCTGCACACACTGGCCTCATCTCCACCAACTCCATTGTCATTTGTGTGAAATCTATTTATTATTTTTTTGTCTTTACAAAAGAAATTGGTAGGAACAGCTTTGTGGGGCAGGACAGCAAAATACCCTCACACTGTGCAATGTCCCATCCTCTGGCAATGGAACCAGGGCTGAATTTTTAAGTGAATAATTTTTTAAGAGTTTAGAAAGAGCCATAACAACCTTCAGGGCAGAGCCTGGGGCACATTCTTCTTTTCTTTTTTTTTTTTCCCCCTGTTGCTTTTCCTTCATTCCTATACTTTTTATGATTGCTTTCCCTTTCTTTGAAGGAAGCATGTGCAAAACCAAAATAATTCAAACACAGGCAGCAACTGGGATGATTTTATTCACCTGTTCCTATTAAACCCATTACCACGCAGGGATGTGTCGGGAAGCATCCGGATCCAACCCAATGCCAGGCACATCCTCCTCTCCTTGCTCTCTGGTACAGCAGACAGAGCTGGGCATCATGGGCATCCCCAGGGTGGGCCATAGGCAAGGGGAAAAACATCTTAATACCACTTAAAACACCAATTTTCAAATGCCTGGGTGGCATGAAGCCATTCCCCTGGCTTCAAAGGGCAGTGGGTGATGCTTCTACTATAGGTGCTTTGAAATCAGGGAAAAGCTTGGATTTTCTGGTGCTTTTTCCCTTGAGTTGCTGGGTTTCACAGAAGCATCTTGCATTTTCTCCATAGCAGCCAGAGGTTTTCAGGAGAAGCCCTGCACCACTGCCCACCCCACAGCCCATTTCATGTATTTGAATTTCACTGGTTTCAACTCATTTGCTGCCAAGTCTTTTTGGAAATAAGAACTGAAGAAGACACGTGTTTGCCCAGGCAAAGGGTGGGATGTGCCATGTGGTAGCTGCTCCAGCACAAAACTGGAAGCAGCAAACCCCAACCACCCTCTAAATATTATTTTAAATCTCTTTTCCTTCTAGGCTCAACAATTCTGCTACAGTGGTAATGATATTATCTCATTTGTGACCTTTTTTTTGTTTAAATATACATTTTTCTAATGGAAATTTAATTGTTATCCCTTAAACCGTTGTGTATTTTAAACATCTTCCTTCTGATCAGGAAGGTGAATGAACTGAAGCTGGGCAGATACAATTAAAGTTGAACAAGCACTTGAGGATGATTTTCTCCTCCTCATTCCCAATATTCCAGTGGAGCTCTAAGTATGTGAAGATTTTGGCTTCTGCACAGCTAAAACCAGAGGGGAACATCCATAAAAGCTGCAGAGCAAAGATGTGCGCGTTTTATATTCAAGAAGGGAAAAAATGTGCACTTGGCAGTGTCATTTTTATATCCCCTCAGCTCTCACCACAGGGATTAAGCCTATTTTTAGCTGAGGAAGCAGCTCCTGGATACTGACAAAGTGGTTGTGCTTTGGAATGGCAAAGGGATGCCCAAATCTCCAGTGCACTCTGGGCCCGGCCCTTGGCCTGTCTCTCCTACTAATCAGATCAGAAACCAGATGTAAGTTGGTAATGATGAGCTAATCAGCCTTGGGGACTATTTAGTGGAGGAAACGATATGTTCCTTGTTGTCAGGCGTGTTTACATCACTGCTGAGGTATGGAAATGGGGCTAATTGGACACAGTGACATGTGATTACCCATGTGTATGTTCCCATTGGGTGTATCTATGTGTGGCTCCTCTGGAGCAGCATCCCTGGTTGAGCTTCCCCAGCCATACCATGGAGCTGGAGAAATCCTCCCTTTCCATTTCCAAATACACTTTTCAGATGTTTTCAGACGGGAATATTTCACGTGTCCCATTTCAATTTTTTATTATTTTTTTTAGTTTTTATTTTAGGAAAGTTTTGCAACCAACTGCTATGGGCAGGCTTCAGATTTCACCTGGCAAAGCCAGTTTTTGTTATCGCAGGCTGTGGGTGTTGAGGTCTGGGGGGCTTTTAACCTCTTTAAATACCACTTGATGCTGTCTCAGGAGGGGGGAGCGACCCACGTTGTATTTTTTAAATTAATCACCTGAAGGGAAGGCAGGTTGGTTTTGCTTCTTGAGCAATTCAGTTCCAATACTTCACTCTGAGTCATCTCAGATCTGTTGGCTGGGTGAGGTTTGGAAGGAAGACGAAGGGAGGGTGAAAGCAGGTTAGCCTGGCAGCACCAGGAGACAGGTTAAAGCCAGCTCTGCTGTCATCCTCCCAGCCATGGTGAGCACTTTGGCATAGAAAAATTCATCTTTTTTTTTTTTTTTTCCCCTCAGATCCCTGAGGAAATCAGCCCGAGCTGCTCCCGAGCTGCCAGCCTGGCATGTCTCAGGGCACCAAGGAACCGCCCCATGTCCAGGCACCCTCCAAGAAGCCTCTGGTGGCACCAGCCACGACAAAACCTCTCCCAGCAGCCAATGCTGCTGCTATTCATCACTGCTTCTCCCCACCCAAAGCTTTTCCAGGGAAGGACCAGGACCAGCAGCACAATGTGGGCAAAAGTCCTGATCACCACGAAGGAGTTTCCTTCTTTACAGTAAAAGAGCATTTAAACATTTCCTCTTGGTCCAGGGTAGTGGAGTCAGTCAATGTAATCTGCAGGCAGTTTCATTGTCTTTATTACCCATTTTCCGGTCTCCAGCTGCAACAGGAACCCCTGGTGCACCGTGTGCCCCTTCTGGGCCCCTGTACCCAGCCCAGCAGCTGCCAACCCTGCCAACTTTGATGTGGGACATAATTTTCCCCCCAGCAGAACACCCCATGGGGATGGGGTGCTCTGCTCTCGGTGTCCTGTTTCTCCAGCTCCTCCTGGAGCAGCTCCCAGCTCTGGGTACCAGCACATTCTGCATTTCTCCACGTCCATGATATTTAAGCCAGGATGTCATGGCCAAAACATCTTTGCCAGCTGCATGATTAACTATGCTTGTATAATTAAGCACCAAGAGGAAAATTGCACCTGCTTTCCCACATGTATCAAGCCCTTTCCCAGTAATACAATATATTAATTTATCTGTATTCCCACCCGAGTGGTCAGAATCCCCTGACAACCACAAAAAATGTCCTTTGCTCCATCACTTGGTGGCCTGGACCAGGCAGGGGCAATAGGTTAGGTCTGCACCACCAGAAAGTCCTCAAATGATGACAGCTGGCCCTCCCTGCTCCAGACCTGGGCTATCCCCAAGCTGAGCCACTGGTGGTGATTTCTCAGCACAAAGATGTCCTTAGAATCAGAGAATCATGGAATTGTTTGGTTTGGAAAAGACCTTCAAGATCAAGTCCAACCATTAACCAAGCACTGCCAAGGCCACCACTAAACCATGTCCCTCAGCACCACATCTACACATCTTGGAAATCCCTCCGTGATGGGGACTTCACCACTGCCCTGGGCAGCCTGTGCTAGGGCCTCACAATCCTTTTGGGGAAGATATTATTCCCAATATCCAATCTAAACCTCCCCTGGGTAACTTGAGGTAATTTCCTCTTGTTTTTTCATTTGTTACTTGGTCCCTCTCATAGAAAAATAACTGCAAACACAGCAGTTGCTTAAAATAATAATGATAATACTATTAATATTAATCAATCTCTGCCCTTTTTTTTTTTTTTCCTCATTGCACTGGGAAATTAAGTGTAGACTGTGACTTGGGGTGAGGTTTTAGGTGCATAACTGGTTTTGTGGCCAGGCTGGGGCTGGTCCTCACCCCCCCACCCTTCGGGTTTTGGGGGCCTGGTGCTGTAGGATGCTCCTCACTTGGAAGTGAGAGAAGGGGGGGGCACAGCGCAGCCAGGGGGGCCCAGCCCGCACACACCCCCATCTTGCCG